GCATTATGCAAATATTTTCACATAGTGAGGTAGATATGTGGGGCGTGTTTAAACGAGGCGTTTTAGGAGGGCGTGGACCAGTCTTAACTTTTATAAAGAATATCTCTTTGGGTTTGAGACTTTAGTCTTTGCAACTTTAGGATCTTATCTATTCACAAACAGCTTGTAACACTCCAAAGAGAAAGGAAAACTTGAAATCGCATCATATGACCCCTTTAAACTATTTCTAAAATATGAGACCTCTATCCATAATATTGCTTTCTTTAGCGAAACAGTCATCTTGTCTGAATCAGGAGAGAAATATGCACAGATCCAGCACGGTTTACAAGCGAAAAAAGTTAAAAACAATTCTAAACAAATATGTTGCTAGATTTTAATGTAAAAGGACAACAGATGGACATTTTCACTGGAGGAAATGTAATATGGATTTAAAAATGCCTTGATGGATTTGTTTCTTACACATATACAATTGTATTCAATTCACAATACATTGATTGGACTGGAGTCGTGTGGATTACTTGTGGATTATTGTGGGGTTTTTATCAGCTGTTTGGACTCTCATTCTGATGGCACCCATTCACTGCAGAGGATCCAGTGGAGAGCAAGTGATGAAATGCTATTTCTTCAAATCTGTTCTGATGAAGAAACAAACATTTTTGGGTGAACTATTCCATAAAATGCACAGGACCCAGGACTAAATTTTAATAGATGGGATGAATCCATGAATGCATGAATCCAATGAGGATGCAATCCTATAGTGAACTGATTGTCAACCAGGAAGACAAGCTTGTAAAACAGACAAATAATGAAAAAAAAAAAAATGTAAATCATTTTGTGATTAATCCCGTTTTTCATGTTCCTTTTTATAGAAAGAAAACTAATGTTTAAAACGTGTGAGATGTTTTACACTCAGTATCAGACACTGATATGGATGAATCAATGTATATACACATAAACATTAATGTGTGTGTTTATGTGTAGCTGTACTTATACCACTAAACTGTTAATTGAAAAAATAAGTTGAGTTGAAGAGTTGAAATTTTGAAAAATAACAATAGGAAATTAAAAAAGGTATATAAAATTTTATAAATGCTATTATAATTGCTATTAAAACTATAATTAGCTTAAGACTGCAATAAAAATGTGAAAAGACAAGTATATGATAATTCAAAGAATTAGATGTTTAAAAAGGTACGATTGGACACCATCTGCTGGTGGTTTTATAGAAGACAGCATAATTATGGAATGGAAACGAATATGTGTGCAATATGAAACGTCAAAGCAGCAGTGCACAATGAATTGTTTTATTATAAAAGCATCACAATAAAACCAGTTACAAAGCACACATTTTCCCTCTGTACAACACTGCTTCACAGGGTACAGACATAAATACCAATTTACAGCCAAAAAAACTAAAACACTTTATAGTGCCTGTCAAACCTTTAGTTTGGGGTTTCAGATGGTTTTGTTGCTTTTTAAACACTATTCACTATAGTATGAAAATATTACGGCAGCTAAACACATTTTGGTGACACGAGTCCCCAAGTCAGTTCAAAGGTCGGAGGCCATGTTTAGAAGATTTCACAGAGCAAAAAAAAAAAAAACCCGCTATTCTAGGATCAGTTCTAAATGAACTGAACTGATCCTAGATCAGCATATTATCGGAGTGATATTTTGTCTTATACAGCCTGAGTTCACACACAGTAGAAGAGAATGAGATTAATTTTTCAACAGAAAGATACAAATGCAACCACAAATATTTCATAAAGGGCATTTGAGGCATCTGGTTATTACAATCCTCATACACACATCCTGTAAAGCTCCTCAAAGTCACACACACGCACATACACATACACAGTTCATCAAAATCTAGTCAAACACACTCCAATCACTGCCCAGGACTGACCCTCCTGTTTTTTTAATCAATCAAAAGTGTGGAAGAGAAGGATAATCTCTCAAAGCTTATTAAAATTTTTTTAAAGGGGACATCGGATGCCCATTTTCCACAAGCTGGTATGATTCTTTACTGCCTTAATGAAATGTCTGTAACATACTTAAAATTCCTCAATGGTCAATTACGTAGAAACCGGCTACAAATCGAAACAGCTTACTGGATGGATGACAGACTCAGACAGCCTATTACAAACTGGCTGTGTGTTTTCTTTTCAGCTTTTCTGAGCTGGCAGACATGCCAGAATCCTAACTAAATGCAAAAAAGGCTAAAAAAAAAAAAAATCATCCGATGTCCCCTTCGACAGAACCCGTGAGCAAAAAAATAGGAATTATAGGTAGCACCACTAAATCCAAAATAAATTCTAGCGCCACCCCAAATAATGCTGTTCATCACAGCTGAAGGGGTGAGGGATAACAGTAGAATAGGTCTTTTATAAAGGGAAGAGCTTTTTCCATCATATAACAGATCCGATTGGTCCAGAGGCTCATAATAATCCAGCAGACCTCCTCTTTCCACTCAATTGAAACTAGCCACTTGGAAATTAAAAATGACCAAGAAAATATAGCTCTTATAAAAGGACAAAATAAAACGTTCAAATAAGTGCTTTTTGGTATTATTCGTATTAAAAGCTAAAAAAATAAATAAAAATAGAAGAAAATCCCTGTGACCAGAAAGCTTAAGGACTCCTCAAAGTTCCCTCATTTGCAATTTTGGGTGGAGCATCCACAGTGGGCGGTGGCCAATCAAAGAGTTTGGTAGGCGTGTCCTGAGTGGCGCTGCTGCTGTAGTGAGGAGGGAGAAGCTGGTTTTTAGGGTCAGGCCTCAGTTTGTGAGATTGTGTTTGGAGTCGGCGAGACTGAGGCTGGGGCTCTAGAAAGAGGTCTCCACCCCGCTGTCGCATATCCCACTCTCCTCCTGATTGGAGCCCAGTGTCAAACCCTGAATGGACTTACAGAGCCCTGGACCTGAGAAATCGTTTGTTTTAAGAAAAAGAAGGGCGATTATTAATATTACCGTAAAAGCATTTCAAATATTTTTCCTAATTATTACAGAAAATTTTTATACATTTTTCTTATAAAATATTTTTTTATGAATATAATTCATTTAGAATATATATAAATATATATATATATATATATATATTCGTATTTGGCATTATGATTGCCTGTTAATCAAACTCCCGGCGAAGGGTCAATTGAGCAGCCAAGATAGTGCAAAGTTCAGAAATAACTGGGGCTAAAGAAATGCCTGCTGTTAATGCCATGTGCTGCACTTTTCACACGTCTTTTTAAATAGATCTTTAATGATATAAGGTCTGTGTGTCATTTGGAGCGACCACTCATCATGTGGTGCGACCAATAATAGCAATAACTGCAATTGAATTAAAAATAAAATCTAATTTCTGTGGCTGAAATATGAATCACTGGTACAGTATGCTTAAGTGATTGGCATTTTAAAAACATTTTTATCAGTTTTATGCAAATTACAGGAAAAATAAATCTGCTAACTACATTTAAGAAGGCAACTTTGAAATTATAGAACAAAAATATGACATCATTATTTACACAAACTCAAAATAAATGCCAATACTTTGTTTCTAAACACTTTAATTACTGAGAACATCTATAAAAAAAAACTGTTAAGTTTGCAATGCTGTTAAGAGGTTGGGGTCTATTGGTAAGAAAAAAAAATAAGCATCTAAAGACTATCCTTCAAAAACCAGACAGTTTCCTACTGGAGCAGAAAGAATGCAATAACGTAGCTGGTTTAATTGTGCAGCAAAGGCAGGTTGGGTCAAAATCAGGGAATAGACCAATGGACTCTGTTCACTACCATAAATTGAATGAGAGTGTGTCTAGCATTTATAGATGATGAGTGCATTCAGGAAAGAATTAGATCTCAGGAATTTTCCTCAAGAATCAAATTCAATTCCTCCTCCCAGAGCACCTTCAGTAGGTGCATTGAGGGGGACTATTTTGTGTTTGTGTTTTTTGGAACCTGTGATGCTTTTTCTTTGATTATTTGATGAATAAAAAGTTAGAAATAACAGCATTTATTCAAAATAGAAATCACAGGTCCCAAAAAATATTAAGCAGCACAACTGTTTCCAACACTGATTATAAATCAGCATATCAGAATGATTTCTGAAGGATCATGTGACACTGAAGACTGGAGTAATGATGCTGAAAATTCAGCTTTGCTTCACAGGAATAAATTATATTTTAAAGTATATTAAAATAGAAAACTGTTATTTTAAATTACAATAATATTTCACAAAATTACAGTTTTTTTCTGTATTTATGATCAAAAAGATACAGCCTTGATGAGCATAAGAAACTTCTTTAAAAAAACATAAAAAATCTTACTGATCCTAACATTTCCTAAAACCTTTTGTTTCAGGTTTAAAATAGATTATGACTTTTGGATCGCACTATATTTCTTGAACATCGATGTGTTTTTTATCATACTGCTGTTAAAAGACGTTTATTAATCTCTAAAACATGGCACAACAATACGGACAACCACGAGAAGGAAACTGAGAAATAAAAAAAAACGGAACTTTCCCCTGGTGGCTCACACATGCTCACTCGACCCTGTCGATGACAATGTCAACCCTTCAAATCAAACAGCAAGGTGGAAATACTTATTTCAAAGAAACTGCTCCGGAGTCAAAAACCAAAAGTGCCATATCTTGCTTTCACTTCTGTTCCTGGGAATCCCCTCTCTATTGTCCGCTTCCCCCTAAAACACGGCCATCACTGCAGAGTCTATATGTGAACACTACCGCAGTGTGACGGGTCACCCTGAGACCGAGGGGAACTCCCTCAGAATGCAGTGGCTGTGCTGTTTTGTTGACATCATGCTTGAGTTCACATGAGGTAATGTCAGGGAGAACCACAACATGATGCTATTGTTAAGGAGAGGGGGGCAGGTGACCGAGACTGGCAGTGATTTAATCTGGGGGGTTTACAAACCATATTGTGGGACAAAAAAAACAACAAAAACTCCCCAACAGAACAGTACAGCACAATTCTCACTCATACTACGAAATACCACAGTGATGAGTGCTCTTGGGAAAAGATCAAAAATGCTACACCAATGAGCAAAAAAACATGTTTTGTGAAGATGGTTGCGGTTTAATGTTCTGGTACGCAGAACAAAGGAAATATTAAAAACTGTCATCTAGCCTTTAGAAATGAAAGCAAAAAGCCACTCAAGACCATGCGTTACTGTGATTTTACCACAGTTGAATCTTTTATCAAATATAAACGGTTTTATAAAATAGTGACAACAGAAATGTGATTCAAATATGATCACAATAAAATGTAGTCACATGTATTCAACAAATCATAATAATAAACGATTCTTCTGCCAGGTATATTAGCCTAATTGTCATATGACACTAAAGACTGGGGTAATGTGTAATGGCTGCTAAAAAATGTGCTTTGCCATCACAGGATTAAAATACAATGTTCTTTTAAATTGTATTAATATTTCTCAATTTTTGATCAACTGGTGAGCACAATTCAACTGAAGTTGTCACAGGGTTGTGTGAATGTTACAACGGCTTTGAACTCAGTTTATCTAATCTGAAATAGCATTCAAATGATTTTTGAAAACAAATTTGACTACTTACTCCTTTACAGAACTTAAAGTGCACTTACTACAGGGAAAGTCCCCTGTGGTTATGCATACCAGAGCACAATGGTAATGTTTCATGGATCATTCCTTGTGGGGGGCTAGAAACACCAACTTTTTGCTTTTGTTCAACCACCTAGGCCACATCACCCAGAAAAGCATATATCAATTAATATTACCTGTGAGCTGAGGCGTGGTGTGGACAGCTTCAGGCTCCTTACACACGGCCTGGAGTAAACAGACAGCACTGCTGTTCCCAACATGCTTCAGTCCCTCCACCAGCTCACGCACCGTTCCTCCAGACACCTGCAGAGGAGACAGAACATCAGCAGCTCAAACCAGAGCAACTACAGGATACACAAAACAAAATAAATGTTAAGCCTACTGATATAGTAAATGTTAGAGCAATTCATCTCTTTAATGTCGTTTTGAAAAATATGGGTTGAACTGAAGTAGGTCCCGTAAATCTGGACATTTAAAAAAATATATAATATAATATAATATACAACTTTTTTCGGTCCCAAAGCAGCTGTATTGAAGTGAAAACCGAACATTAAAAATGTATTTCTGTTTACGGCCCCACTTCACACTCGATGCAGATAAGTGACCTCAATTAGTTGACTTTGTTAATAACAATTTTGAACTGGTGCTTCTGCAGTACACCGGTCCATTGTTAACAGAAGATTAAGAGACAACTTATTTTTCTTCTCATTCTCTGGTGTTCATTTAAGATTCATGTAAAAGTAATTTGTAGTCAAAAGGCAGTAAATGAGTTGACCTCATAGCTGTCCAGCAGCTTTCCAGCAGGGCAGGAGCTGAGTCTGAAGGCGCTGGTCAGGATGCCAAGCCCCAGAGCATGAGCCAGACTCTCCCAGCCTCCCGTCTGTTCTTCCAGTGCCTGGCACAACTCCTGCTTTGTGTCAGAGCTCAAGCTCTTCATGTCACCTGCCAACACAAGCCAAACACACATTTAAATGCATACAAACACAAAATTGTTACCTGTTCTTCACACATTTATTGGTTAAAACGTTTTATCTGGGTTTCTACACCTTTCAATCAATTCCCATGAGTTTTCTAAGGGTTAAAGGGTGCATTTATTAAGAGTATTTCCTAGTTGATTCAATATTTAGAAAGGGGAATAACTTAAATATATGTATTTCCAAGTTTTTCACAAAAGTGGAAACCTAAACAATACAAAAAAATTATAATTCAGAAAGAGGATAAATATTAAAAGAAAGAGCCTACTACACTCGTTTTGGGTCAGTAAGTTTTTTTTTTATGTTTTGAAAGAGGTCTCTTTATGCTCATCAAGGGTGTATTTATTTGACCAAAAATGCAGTAATATTGTGAAATATTATTACGATTTAAAATAACTGATTTCTATTTTAATATATTTTAAAATGTAATTTATTTCTGTGATGCAAAGCTGAATTTTCAACATCATTACTCCAGTCTTCAGTATCACATGATCCCTCAGAAATCATTCTTAATATTATAAAAAATTGTTATATTTGTATTATTATAAAACGTTTGTGCAGCTTAATATTTTAGTGGAAACACAATTTATTTCAGGATTCTCTGATAAACAGAAAGTAAAAAAAAAAAAAAACAGCATTTATTTGAAGAATAATTTTTTAAACATTATACATGTCTTTACTGTCACTTTTCAATTCAATGTGAAGAGTTCAGATGTAAAAGCCTCTAAGTGCCATCTGAAATTTTCTCTCATGTGTCAGTTCAGTCATTTCACTTTAATGGCAATGTTTTCATTGCCATTAAAGTGAAATATCTGAACATATATATAGGAGCCTGAGTTAATACCTTGTGGTGGAACGACAATAGTGGTGGGTTGATACTCTTCTCCATTAAGAATATCATAAACCTGATAACACAGATAATACATTACATGCAGAATCAATCACAACCTGCAATGTAATTACATTACATAACACAACAATTATCCAAAGAAATGGCTCTCTATCCCTACCTCTGGGGAGGTTGCCATGTTCAGAGGGGTTGTCCCAGGAATATAGCCTTCATCTTCCTCCTCTTCCTCTTCACATGTACCACACAACTCATCATCTTTGAAGAACAGTGGTTCAAAGTTTTCTTTATGAGGATCTGCTCCTAAAAGCAATGTACACAACACTAATTGGTAACCTCAAGTCGAAGTAATTTAATCTGCTGAATATGGTCAGAAAAGTACTAATTATCACTTGGGATGAGTGATCATATATCTTCAATAAGTTTAAAAAGAAGTAGCTTTTGACTAAATTCTACCAGACATACAGTATACTGTATGCAGAACATTGATGACAGCAGAACAGGTTGTTACAGACAGTTATTTTAAATTTAGTAAATTTTAAATTTTTCAGCATGACAACTCTCATTAGTGACACCTGTAATAAACACACACTTCCTCACCTGCAGCCATCAGGAGCGCGCACAGTTTGGTTGAGTCCCGTCCTGCAGAAATGTGCAGAGGAGTTGAACCGTTATAGGTGACACTGTCTGCATATGCATTACCCTGCACAGACAGAATGTTACACGCATAAAGTCATTCATCAAGACAATTAACGATTAAAACTTCATAAGAACATTATTTTAGCATTTAAAGTAATTATTACTTTTATTCTGCAAGGATGCATTAAACCGATCAAAAGTGATAGTAAGGACATTTATAATGTTAAAAAAATTATTTCAAATAACAGAAATTTCTATTCATCAATAAAGACTGAAAAAAAAATCGATCACATTTCCACAAAAATATTAAGCAGTGCATTAGTTTTCTAAATGAATAACAATAATAAATGTTTCTTGAGCAAATCAGCATATTAAAATGATTCTGAAGGATCATGTTACACTGAAGACTGGAATAATTTCCTAGTATTTCTATTTTAAAATATATTAAAATAGAAAACAGTTATTTTTAATTGTAATAATATATGTTTGTTTTATGTATCTGATTTAACTGTATTTTTGATTAAAAATAAATGCAGCCTTTGTGAGTAGGGATGCTCCGATTGATCGGCTACCGATAACTATCGGCCGATAATCGCTTGGGGAAGTTTGATCGGCATTCTCTATAAAGGCCGATCTCAAGCTGCTGACGCGCGTCAGAGGTTTGGCATGACATGCAGTGGTACCGTCTCAGTCTCTGTCTGGCGCTGGTAAAATCATTATAATGCTGAAGGTGAGGTACAAATCATATTTCTTTATTAAATAACTTATAAAGTAATTTGAAAACTTTCTGTGAGACATAATTTCACAAACAGCGTAAGTGAATCACCGCGCGCACTCTTTCCCTCTCAAAATGCGCAAACGGCTTCAAAATCACATCGCGTCTGCACTATAAGCGAGCAGCATGCTGCACAGTTGAGACAGGAATCGTCACTTGCACAATCGAGGCAGTGTCGCATTGTCACTAAAGTTTATAAATTGCATTTCTTTTTAATTCTTGCCCGTGTTTAACCATTCAACGCGCGCGCTCTCCTGGAGGCCGTGCTCTCATGCACACTCGCAGCGCACACATATAACGCCAGGTTCACATTACTCCGTTTGCAGTGCGTATTTTTTCCACACTCATGTTAACGGAAAGCGTGCACACTGCACACGGTTGGGGTGCGGCAGTGCGTTCCAGGAGCGGTGTGTTTGCAGCAGTGCATAGATCGTTTCCGCACCGAGTCTATTTTTGCTGCGCTGCAAGTGAAGAATTAAAGTGACAGCGCATTGTTTGCGGTAAATATGAACATGGATTGACACGAAAATGTAGTAATTACACCATAAAAGCATATAATTAAAGTCTACTGTGTTTCACAGTCAACACATAGGCTATGGCTTTTTGGCTATAGGTTTAAAGGAAAAGAGCACTTTTAGATAAACAAGTCAATAATAGATGGCACTCGTGGAGGTAGGAAAACAAAGTTCTTCATGAACCGCAGGATTGCTTGTAATAAAGAATTAAATGCAAAAGAAAAGGCAGTAGAGCTGACTGTAGTTTAAATGTTAAGTAGTTTAAATGTTTTGCCACTTGCTTGAGCAACTTAATATATAAATCTAGAAGTAAATGCAAAAGTAAAAAGCATTGAATAATGTGTTGCTTATATTTATTGTGTTTCATAAACGTCTATGAATGATTGTATTACTGTACTGTGTAAAAAAAAGAATCACAATGCTGAAAAAGCATAAGTAGTGACAATGTTTGGATTTGAAATCAAAATAATGAATAAATGTTGTGTTTGT